TATATTACCTAATCCCTTTAGTTAATAAAGGTAATAACGGCCGCCTTCTATTCGGCGTTAGATATATTAGAAGATATATTTACTAGTTTATCGTTTAGTTAATTTATAGGTAGGTTAATTAAGCTCTTAATTACTTTAATTAGGTTGATAGTAGTTATTTAAGAGTGCTTATATAAACGTGATTACTTTTTATAGTAGAATAGGAGTAGCCTTATTAATATCTATTATTTAGGCGTTATAAACCGGGCTTATAACTATCGCACGTTAAAATAGCACTTATATAATTAACTTAGTAAAGCAGAAATCTCGTGTGTATATATTATATTAACTTATATCTATATAAGTCTCTTATACCCTTAATTTAGGTAGTAAAGACTCTATTATAGGTACTATAGCATTTAGATCCTATCCGGTCTTTTCCGGTATCCGCCCCTATTATATCATAATACCCGAGGTCCGAAGCCCTTAGTTAGGCATAGATCCCCTATAGACCACGTCGTGGTCCGTGTGCCTATGCGATATATCCCTAGGCTAGAATTTTAGATACTTCGACGTAAAGAACGCTTTCGTTTACGCCGATATAGATACCGAGATTTATACTATACAATCCACAGGCTTCGAGGAAAAAGAAGGCTCTAATAATAATAAATTAGGTTATAAACTAAATAGAGCTTTATACGGTTTAAAACAAAGCCCCCGGCTTTAGTATAATTTCCTTATAAAAATACTCCGCGAAATCGGTTACCTAGTCTCTAATTTCGATAACGGTATATTTACGTTTTATAAGAATAAAACAGACCGTACTATACTACTATACTACGTAGACGATATAGTAGTACTAAGTCCTTCGTATATAACGATATAGTATTTATTTACTGAAATATCGAAACAGATCTTATTAAAAGATCTAGGTTAGCTATATACCTTTTTAGGCCACGAAATCACTATTAATAAGTTAAATAAAACCCTTTCTATAAATCAGTTGCCTTATACGAATAAAATCCTCGATGAATATAATAAACGAAGCCTTAAACGCGTTGATACCCCTCATATAAATAAGAAGGTCCTTATATTAAATCAGGAACAGGCATTAAAAGCCGATATTAAATATACTAACAGGAAATTGGTGCTTTATTATATTTAGGGACTTAATAGGGAGCCCTCACGTTTTAATATCGGGCCCTTACATATGATATTTTAGTGGGGCCATGACGCCGCCGCTAAGATGCATTTGTACCGCACCTATTTTGTATGTATATATTGTGTAGAAAATCGAAAGAGATATTGTAAATCGCTTAATCTTAATAGTTAATCCTAATACTTAAATATCTAGCTATCTAATAACGCCGCCTGTGCCGCCGCTATTACGTCTAGTTCCTTATCCTCTTCCCTTTACTGCTGTGTATCTTTATCTGTAGTCCTTACTAACGTATCTATTTTACCCTTAAACTGGGCAGAAATCACCTTTAATTCGTGCTCTTACGAGGCCGTAAGCTTATTAGTTATATCCTCCTTGATATCCTCTATAGTATTAAAGACCCGGGCAGACTACCGAGGTGCCTATGTGCCGGTCTTATATTATAGGGCTGCAGGGGCCGTTGCGGGTGGCAGGGCATCGCGTAGCTCTTCTGCAGCTGCGATTTTAAAGGTAGATAGGAGCCGTTTAGTACTGTTTTTCCCTTAGCCCTTCTTCTTTCCTATGCTGGACATCTTAAGAGCCCCTTTTAGGCGGCCTTTTCCTCGAATCACTATTAGTTTTTGGGGTATATCGGGTCGCGAAGAGGAACTAGTATAAGTAAAGACCTTATTACGATTCTATCACTAGTAGATATCGATTAACGCAATATCGAGTGGCTCGGAGTCGTGTAAGTAGGCAAAAAGCACTTGCTGATAGGGCAGGTCTAAAGAGGTTATGATAGTATAAGGCTTATAGGGCCCGGGGGGTTATAGGGTCTCCCCTCTGCATAGCTTTTCCAGAGTAACTAGCTTGATTTTAATACGTTCGAAGGCTTGTGGGATAACGTGCTGATTAATAAGGCTAAAAAGAATCCTAGCTATAGGAAACTCTACCTTATTAATTTGGCTAGCTTTTACTAAAGCTAGATCCTCCCCTTGGTTCTTCTAGTATAGCTTTAGGCTGCGAAAAATAGTGGCTAAGCCGCTCGTAGAAGACTGTAAATACCTCTTAAGGCTAGTATACGAAGACTCTGTATCTAACGTTGTTTTATGGCTAAAATAAGGTACGCGATTCACGTACTAAGCTATAATCTTCTCCTTAAAGGGATTAATCCAGGTATTTAGGGCGTAATTAACTACATTTTCTAGGTGTTTATCTGTTTGCTAGAAAGATTATAATCGCTACGTGAAGACCTCCTCTATAAGGCTTATAATAAGGGTATTTTAATCCTTAAGAAACGTATAAAAAGAAGGGTGCTGTTAAACATTGCTATTATTTAGCCTAGTAGCCTTAGGAATAAAGGCCTTAGTCTTCGCCAGCACGTTTATATTAATATACTAAAGATATAGAATATTAGGGACCTGACTCTAATTTAGGTAGGATTTTAGTGCGTTTATTAGGGCGAGCTCCTAATCCGTGAAAATATAGCGTGGTAGAGGGGAATTAGTGGTAGTAATATACTTATGTAAAACCCGAATAGACTAGGCGTAATACTTTTCTTTTTTAGTATCGAGGAAAATAATAGTAATAGAGAAGGCTTTCCGAAGAGGCGATATTCCGTAAATATTAAGTAGGGGTATCTTAAACTTATTTGTTTTGTAGGTTACGTTAACTGTAAGGATATCGGGAGATTGCTAAAGGTGGATAATCGTGGATTTCGGGGTAATAAAGAGGGACTATATTCGGCTAAGGCTATCGCGACGGTCGCGGTAGAAGAAGCTATCCTTGATACTGAGTTGCTAAGAAATTACTATACGATTATATAGTAGTATCGGGAGGGAGGGAAGGTAACGTATATCGTAAAGCTACTAGATCGGGGTCCTTCCTGTAAGCTTATCACGGCGATACCGAGCGAGTAAGTTTAAGATATCGGTAGCTATAACGCTTAACGGCTGCTAGGCTAGATCTTTAGGATTGCGGAGTCTTATTATAATCTTACGGGGTTAAACGCCGCTATTCTATAAGGAAATAACCTCGAGTTTATATAACTAGAGTCCTTACGCCCGAACCTGGGTAAAGGCGGTAGCTTTAATCCAGCCGTGGTTATAGGCTGGCTCGGTGGCGGTGTTATATTTAACGATAGCTTTAATAACCTAGCTGCTATCGCAATAACGGATATTAACCCTAAAAGGGTAGCCTATTATCTGGGTAGTAGTTTTCCGGCGCTTTGATTTATGTGTTAGGGTAACGCGAGGTGTAGGTGCCCTGTCTTTCCAGTAGCGGTAGGTGATACGTATCGGCGCCCTGTTATTCGGATAGTGGCTATGGATAGCGAGGCTATATTCGTTAGAGAAGGCGTGGGCGGTAAGAGCTTCGTATGCCTGCTCTTTAGAAGGAAAAGTCCTTTTAAGGAGCTTAGAGCCGTAGGGTCGGTGGTGGTCGGCTATTTTATATGTTTTTGTATAGGATATCGTGACTTATTAGTATAGTGTTTTGGCAGTTGGATTTAGAGTTACGGTGTGGGAGGTATTATTAAGCGATTTATAATATCTTTTGGGATTTTCTATATAATGTGTATATATAAAAGAGGTGCGGTATAAATATATCTTGGCGGCGGCGTTATAGCCCCACTTAAATATCACGTGTGAGGGCCCGATATTGAAACGTGAGGGCTCCTTATTGAGTCCCTATGTTTAGCACTACACTTAAGACCAGATATAACCTACGCTATTAATAAATGCGCTCGATATATGAGTAATCCGTCTTCAGAGCACTCCATAGCGTTAAATCGAATCTAGGCTTAAATAAATACTTTTCCTAATATCGGGCTTTTATATAACTATTCAAATAAAAAAGACCTTATTATATACGGTTATTCTAATACTACTTTTTCAGATATAATCGAAGACAGGACTTCTACGTTATGCTACATCTACTATATAGATGTAAATAATTTAATAAGCTGGACTTTAACTAAGCAAAAAGTCGTTGCTTTATCGATAACAGAATCAGAATATATGGCTTTAACCGAAGCTTCTAAAGAGGGAATCTATATATATAATATATATATAGACATAGTAAATGGCCTTAGGTTATTTACTAATATAAACTTCGGTTTATATAATAATAATAATAATAATAATAATAATAATAATAATAATAATAATAATAATAATAATAATAATAATAATAATAATAATAATAATAATAATAAT